TACTTTCATGATCTTATACAAAATGTAAAAAAAAATGCCTTTTTTTTTTGTTAATTTACAGCTAGCATGGGAAGATGTATTATGACTGTTCCCCTTCAGCATCAGAAGAGCAGGCACCCCAAAATGCATTCTGCAGTGACTCTGAGATTGCAGAAGTATTTGCAGGTGCTTGATGCTCAGTTCAAAACAGAAACGGTAGGCCTTCAAATCTGAGCATTTTAATGCTGCAGTTGTCTAGAAATTCTGTCCTTGGAAAAATCACTTTCATGTGACTCTTCCTCATTTCTGAAAAAAATGTTCAGACAGTTAAATCTCATATCCATCAGAAAAAGGAATCTAGGTGTTTATTTTTACACTTCTTCTCCATGAAATTTAGTGTTTCATTTGTACTAGTGCTGTCCTGTATCCTCACCCTCGATACACCAGGGGAGGAGGAAGTATCTTCCCGGTCTTTCTGTCATGTTATAGTGAGAACAGCCTGCCTCTACACTGGCTTTGCCACACAGATGGTCTAAAAAAGACATGAAAAAAGAAGCAGAGCTCATAGAAAATTTCTTACAGGATATGTGAGTTAGATATGGGCAGAGCTTCAGGAAGAACTGACTGGTCCTAGTCACAGCCTAGTCACCTTCTTAGCTCCCTAATTTGGATAATAACAGACTTTTGGGGAAACAGCCTACCCCATGGTCTCCTTATCCAGCTGACTGTGGTGTGAAGATGCCTCGGCTGAGACAAAATAGCAACGGGGGAAATTTCTGGTATTTCCCCTGTGAAATAACAACTTACTAAAAATAGTGTCTGCAGATTGCAGACCCAGAGAAACCAACTTAGATAATTCACTCCTCCTTCCTCCTTTTGCATACGCTCCCTACACTTTCTCCTGAAATGAAACAGAATACAGAAATCCCATGTCAAAGGGTTGCAACAGACTCCTGCAAAACTTCTGTGTTACAGAAGGGCACAGGATTTTTCTCCAAGTTCATCATCTGACATAAATTTGTCTCTGATTATGAAACTTTAGAGGACAAGGTACATTTGGGGTTTTTTGCCTGCTTTCTTTTTTTTTTTCTTGGTTGGTTTTTAATTACTCTCTTCTCTAAAATTAAACTCAAATTGCATTTTTGGTATATGCCGTGTACCTATAACAAATTGACAAATAAAGGGCAAATTGACTTTTGTATCTGTGTTTGCAGTCACAGAAATACTTACCCTCTAGCCTCAAGAGGATGACCAACATAATATGATGTAATGTAATTTCAAAGTTGCATCAATGCTTTTCCACCCTCACTGGTATTATCTCATTCAAAGGAGATATTTGTTAAAAATAGCTTGGATACAAATCCAATAATACCTCACTGACAATGAAAGCTCATTTCATGCAAGGGGAGAAAAAGCTTTTCAGCAATTTAATGTGAAGCAGGTTTACACATTTACATTTTAATTGCAATATGTTAAAAGCAAAAAAAATCCCCAAACAATAAACACTCCCCCCTAACCCCCAAACATAAAAGGGTTACTTTTTCCCGGTAATAGTGATTTTTAAAATCTCCTCGAGCTATTTCTAACATTATAGTGGGTATGACTTCTATAAATGAGAGAGAGGCTGCTCTGCCTGAGTGCATGTATTATAAGTGTTGTGACACACTACTGTTTTGCTAAGAGATTACAAAATCAATTCTTTATGAAAACATCATTATACTTCAAAGCAAAAGCCACCTAATTCCTTCTCACTTTGGTTCCCTGAGCTCCCTTTTATTCACAAGGTGCAGGAACCTCCCTAAGGTAGAGCATCCTCTTGGGTTGCATCCAAAGCTCTCACAGGACAGCTTCAGTGTCAATAAAGCAGAGAAGCTCCTTTTTGTTATTCCTTAGCTCCCAAGATATTTTGATTGGCTGAAAGTGATGAAAGAGTAAATAACAGGGAGGCTGACCTGACTGGGTTCCCAGAAAACACAGGGAAGAGTTAACCAAAGCTTAATCAAGAAAGAACCAGACACATTACATGCAACGGATGCTAATCCATGTGGTTGGACGCAAAGCAGATCTTTTCAAAAAAGTCTCTTTTCGCAGGATGAAAGGTCTGGTAGAGAGCACCATTCATGTTAATGCAGTTTACTTGGGTCTTGCCAAAGCATTTCATTTCATGGCATATGTTGGTATGATTAAAAAGCATGCATTGTATGGAATTAAAAGGATGTACTTTGGAAGAACTAAAAGCTGGCTCAGTGACAGATTGCAAAGTGGTGAGAGTAACGAGTGGAACTATTTCCAGCAGATTCCCACAAGGATCAGTTCCTGGTACAACATCGTTTAGTATGTTCATCACGTGTCCAAACAATGATGTAAAATCAGTCCCAAGCTGGTTGGGGGCTGGAGCACTTACTGTGTAAGAAAAGGCTGGGTGAGCTGGACTTGTTCAGCCTGGAGAAGACAAGGTTTTAGGGAAAACAAGAACAGCCTGTGAGGTTACAAAGAAAGCAGAGCCAGGGTTTTTACAGAGGTTTGAGGGAAGAGAATAAGAGACCATGAGCACAAATTGAAAGAGGGAAAGTTTCAACTGCATATAAGGAAAAAGAAATCACTATGAAGTTACTCGGGCATTGAATCAGGATGGCCAGGGGGGATATGAAATCTCTTTCTTTGGAGGTTTTTAAGATCTGACTGGATGAAGCCTGGAACACCCTTACTGAATTAAATTTTCACTTTGTTTTGAGCAGAAACTTGGACTAGATGACCTCCCACGGTCTCCCCTTGTGAGGAATGTAATTGGGTTGATTCTGCCTGGAGAGCGATTTGGGAATCCTATTGGATAACTACTTCAACATGTGCTGTAAAGTAAGGCTAGAGGGAAAAGCAATGGCTGGAGGTTATTTGGTCACTGCTGTTAAGCAGCTCCCCACAAAACCTACTACCTTTGCAGAGCAAAATAGAAGCAGCAGGAAGTGAACATCACTCCCTCGGGTACAGCCTGTGAAGTCTTGCACTGCTGCCCAGCGGAGCTCTCCTACATCTCCTGAGCTGTGTAAGTGGAGAGAAGGACAGCTGGGAGCTAGATCTGTTCCTGGGCATGCTATGAAGCATTTCAGAGAGAGGTTTGTATCACCAAAAACTATAGCAGAGCACTACTGGGGGGAGAGGGAATACTTAAAAGCTTTCAGGCAAAGCTATAGCAAGATTCAAAAACTGGAGGCTTTAAGTTAGACAATATGAAATTCTAAATAAAAATAAAGTTAAAACATGCCACAGCTTCTCTGGAGTGAAGTTGAATTCTCCCTTGTTGCCAGTCAAAAGTACTGCCCATACTTTACTGCAGAGCAGGTGGTCAGTGTAGATGTCTGTTGGATCATGACTCAAGTGACCAGGATTTGCAGGCAGGCTCTCACTGTTCTCTACTTTAAGCACTTTTCCCTTCCTACCTGACTTGGAGCTGTTCTGGAGTATTCATGAATGGCAGAAACCTTTTAGACAAGTCCACACTGATACAGAAAAGCCTTTTTGCAGCAGCTGAAGGAATAGTACACATTGTTGACCACACACAAATGTAGTCAGAGGTTACATGAACAGCATCAGCACAGGTGTGCTGGAGCAGTGGGACCCTGACCTATATTGCTGACTAGGAAGGCAAGAAGCCTATAGACAAACTCATTTGACCACACATAACAACCCTCCGGGTGTGTTTTGCTGCACTTGCTTGTTAGCTGAGATCCATAAGGATGAATTATCCAGATTTGCATGTTGTAAAAATGCCATTATGATAAAGCTCACAGCCTCAGATAAATTTAAATACCTTGTTTTTAAATAGAAATCACAGTTGTATTTTTATCTATTATGTGAAGTCCCCAACTCTGATGTCATTTGAGGAGGGTTTTTTTTAAGGTATATCTTAAGTGATGCAACTATTGACTCATTGCTGGTTTGGGTTTTGACACCAGAGGACTGTGGTGGCCAGACCAGCAACCTCCTAGGTTATGACTCCTTCGTTTCTTTAATAACAACTGATCTGAAAAAAATGGAACTGTAATCTAATTTTTTAATTTAATAATTTCTTACATTCTAATTTTGTACTGAGAACTAACTTTCTATTCCTAGGTGAAATAGTTTTGTGGGTATTTTTTTCCCATATGGAAACAATGTGCTTCTCTTTAGCAGTTTCATACACAAAAATACACATTGATAAGAAGTCTCTAAACAGATGACATTGCAATTACCTGACCACTCCAGAAAAAGTAGGCAGAAATATATATCACTGTGTTGAAAAAGTTGGAACATGAGCAGTATAATTTTTATATTATAGTTGACTAATTCCCAAACTGCTTTATGTCAAAAGTATTAAAGATGAATAAAAGTGTTTCCTGCCTTTTATGGAAAACCAACATCTAAAAAGAAAGAGGAGGAAACAAATGCAGTTCTTGCTATATACAATTCTATACTGCTCTGTTGTATGTGGATATATGTAAAGCATGCTGGATGCTCACACACACTGCAAAATAAACAAGCCATTACACACCAACACATCACTAATCCAAGAGGAGTAAGCTATAGGTCACTATTTCTTCTGTGTACCCCGGTTATGAATTTATCTTTGGCTGCAAACATGTGGAACATAATCCGCTGGATCAATAACCTCTTAGGTGCATAACCCCTCCCCAGCAACTGATTTTTTCATTCCTTTACTTATTCAGCAGTAGGAAAAGGACAAGAGACAGCCAGGCACAATGGCATCCAAAGGGCAGCATCTTCAGATGCATGGACAGAGCCAAGGGCAGAGTGCTGGAAAATGTAAGACAGACGAGTACAGCAGTGAGGGCATTGAAAACAGGATGGTCGTACACTTGACAGGAGGTGGCAATATCATCTGTATCACACATGATGCTTTCACTCTACCATTAATCTCTTAAAAAAATGAATTACAAACATTCTTTACACTAGTCAGAGAGTTTCTGTTTTGATAGCAAGGAGCAGGGTGTGCCATAGTTTCCCCTCTGTCATGCTGAGCCTACCGTCCTTTTGTGTTTTCTCTGTGGAGGATTTTTGTGACAATATCCAGTTGCCTTACACCTTGCTGATCATTGCTCTGCCCTTATCCTTCAGTGGAGTGGCAAAAGTTTTTCAGATTCCCGTCACACGTCGCCCACTGACCATCTGCTATTACCACTGTAACGAGAAATCACTTGGTGAAAGGTGATTAAGTGGTTACAATCCAGGACAAGGTTAGAAGCTCATTAAGCTACTTCCCCTCCAATATTAAGCAATAGTGATAAGCCAAGAGTCTTAGCTGATATGAATCAGTGCATTTCTGCTATTTCAATAGTGTTGCCTTGGTTTACATGACATTTAGCTTAAAAGCATTTACCATCAGGTTAATTTAGATCCCAGCCTTTGGTTCAAGTGGGTTTCTGTGTGCCACCATTTTAAAACAGAAACTTGGGATAATCAAGGAATATTCTTTTCTATTCTGTATTATTGTTTTAGTCATCACGGACAGAATGCTTTAAAGATAAATAAGCTGTGGGGTCTTGGTAGCACTCATGATGCAAGAATTTGGTTTCTGTTTCCCCTCAGAGCACTGAGGTTTCCTGTAAAGCTACTCTCACTCTGGATTTATGTACCATTTGCAGAGGAAGCCCTATCCGCTTAAAGCTTCCAGTTAAGCCTTTGCTGAGTCAGTTTTATAGTCAGTTTTATATATCAGGTTGTTAAAAAAAAAAAAAAAAAGGAAAGCAAAAAGAGGGAAAAGTGAGCTTCAAATAAGTCCAGAGGAAGTTCATAGCTCCTTAAACAGTTTTTGTTCTTAAAGCAAGCATTTCTCTTTCCACATCAGGTCTCTGCTGTGATCTGCTTCTGCTAAACCAGAAGCACTCTGTGCAGCCATCTTTTAGGGTTGTGGATTTCAAGACAATCTCCCAGATAAGATTCACAGAACAGAACAGAGTGGGGTAAGCTGTTACAGCACCTTTGTAAACTAGAAAAAGCCACAGGGAGCTGAAAAATTGGTGTGAAAAAAAAAGTCCGGCAGTGTGATTCAGGACATACCACTTGAGGGGAATGATACTGTTGCTGTACTTAGGTTTGGAAAAAAATGTCCTGAAAGGTTCTCTTGCTAGCACATACTCTATTTTAGTTCTGGGACTCATCCTCTAATGTCATATATATTCTGAGTGGTAAAGGAACCACCTGATGTCCAGCTTCATTTCAGGGAAAGGGAGGGCATAGGTATGATGGGCACTAGAAGAGAAGTTTGGACGTACTCAGATTACTGGGGGATAGTTCAAAGGAGAGACACCTTGAAAGGTCAGTGTCAGGAATGCAGCATGCTAATGATGCTAATGATACAAATAACATGTGGGATAGTTATGTCTTGATTTGGTAAAGAACTTATGTACAAGTCGTACTTGGAGCACCTGAGGAGCTGTATTCATTTCAGCCAGGTGACCCACATGCCTGCAGCCAACCTTACACCTCATCAGACAGGAGCTCCAAGCATTACACAATTACAGAACTGACTCTTCTTGGCATTTATCCACACTCTTTGAATGCAAGGATTACTGCATCTTCCTCTTACAAAACTGCCTTCTGCTGGTGGTCATTCTTCAAGCTACTCTGATTCATGGCAAAAGAAAAGCTTTCCCAAAGGATTCAACAGCTTTTTTCCCCCAAAACACACACATCATCTGTGTGTATTTGTCTGTATCCCATCTTATTGTCAAAAATGAACAAATCACTTCTGTGCCCCTATTATCTCATATCTAAAAGGAAAATATTGCCAGTATTAAGTTTTCTTTTGTTTTCCTTTTTTTTTTTTGCATAATAGGACATAATTCATTATTTGGCTTATGACCACTGATGGACAAAGTTCCAGAAAAATGCAAATCTTGCTGTTTTGGGATCTTACACTGATTGTAACTTATCACATCATAGGCCCTTTTAGCACCAGAGACATCATTCTGGCTTAGTAATCCCTCAGAGAATTCCTTCCAACAAATATAGAAGACTGTCATCATGATGAGAAAAAGCCTTTCCCCTAAAACTGTTTATCATCCAAGAATAAATAGCAATGAAAAAAATGGGTTGCTGAGACTTTAGAGGTAATAATCAATTTATCAGGAAGATATTGCTACAAGCATTGTACATAAGCCACTTACCCTTTCCAGTGTCTTACAGTGATCTGAATGTCAATTAAGAAAAAAAAAGAAGATGAAGTTATAATGCTGTATCAACAGGCAGCTGTCCTAGTGGGCACTGGGAACACAGAATGACTCGCATTGCTGAGCAGTGCAGTCATTGCCAAAGAATGATGAGCTCACATTTCATTCCGATTCACATACCCGGTGTGGTCAGTCTGAGGCTCCCCCCTCCTCGCCCAACTGACGCCCCCCTCCCTCCCTGCCTCGACACCAGATCTGGCTCGTTAACATGTCTGGAATGAGCCTGAGCCTACCTCTCAGCTGGCAAGCACAAGGGGCATACTTGGATTCCCAGGTTGGAAGATTATCTCATTCAAGCACAGTTCTCCCAAAGATATATAAGCAAAGTGAGTGTGGTGGTCCCTGCAGAGCTGGTCTGAGCCCTTGGGAGTTTCAGCCATAGAGGCTGTACAGGAGTACAACCTCCAAACACCAGCAAATATGACGATGATGATGAAAGTAGAAGAGCTGGTAGGTACAACCTTCCTTCATTTACTCACAGTTACTTTTCTTTCTAGGCTGTCATTACACCAGGCAGAGAAAGATGACCTTACTGGATCACTGATTTAGCAGGTTACCAGCACTGCTGTGCTCTAGGTGCAAACCCTTATATATTTTTTGTTATCCTGTTATATTTTCATTTTAAACTTTCTTTGGGAAGTGGGCTCACCACAGATACAGCTACGTAGCTGTTTGGATTTTGCATCAGAGCGCAGTTCACCAGGAAGAAGAGACTGACCAGATTTAGCTTGTTTATTTGCCTTTGTCCTTGATTTTAATTTTTACTTTTTTAGAAGCTAGGAATTTTATGGTCACTCTAAGTAATTCCAATCTAATAAGGCACTGAAAGAAGATATTAATGCAGATAAACTAAAGTATTTTATAATACTAAACAAACAGTTTAGTAATAGTATTGTTTTCTAATAATATAATATACTAACAGTTCCTACAACCACTGCTGTTCATGATGTAGACGAGCCTTTGAAAAATAATGTCTAAACCAGACCACAAGTGATGGGACATGCCACTGCAGTGTTTAGACTAAGAATGTCTGATCTGTTCGAGAAACTGGGAAAACAGGGATGATACAATAAAGCACTGCTTTTATTTTCCCAGATGACTATGTTAAGATATAACTGCCATACAGCCTAACTAGTTCATGCTGTCTTCAATTCTTTGGCATAAGTTATCTCTTTGTACATACTTAATTGGCCATCAGAAATATTTCTGAAAGCTATTGAAAGCTGTACTGCTGCACAGCACCACAAAGCTTCTGTGCGGAAACATCCTTTTCCCATTCTCTTATAAATGGGACTTTGGTACTCACAGTGATGGGTAAAACCAGCCTTGAAATTATCCAACAACCTGATTTAACTGCACGGGATGTGTTTCAATAGAGCTGGAAGGTCCCAGTGGAGGAAGACTCTCCTCCCATGCTACCTGCTCAGTTCCTGTACTCAACACTCACAGGGTGAGAGTGGCTGGTTGGGGTGCCTCTTTCCACCACAGCCTTTTAGGGCCTTCTGGTTAGTCTGACACAGGCTGGCAAATGAACAAACAAGAAGACCCTGAACAAAAAGGATGCTCTTCCCAACCCTCTGGCTTTTGTCGATATAGCAGCACCTCAGCTGCAGCCAGGCAGGGAGTTAGACTGTGAGTTGGCCTCATGGATCTGGATCCAAGCCCTGAAGATGCCAAGGGTGGGTTGCTGTGTGGATGTGGGAAATCTGCCCTTGGGCGAGATTGGTGTAGCCATTTGCACACACAGCTAACCCAGGCACAGGTGGAATGATGTCTGCACTCAGTCTGTCCCACACAGGACAGGAACAAGGTCCACCCTAGGGAATCCATCCCAGGTGATGACCACTGCAATCATGACACTGCTGATTATATTATATCATGTTTGCATTTACAGGTGACTGGGAAGAAAGCGGATGATAAAGAGACTGGCAGCTTCCTCCCTGAGGACTTCAAAAATGGGGAGTATGAAGCTGCTGTGAGATTAGAGAAGCAGGATGACCTAAAGACAGTCTCTGAGCACTCACTGACCCGAGGTGATCTGGCTTACAAGAAGGAGAAAAACCTAGAAGCAGAGGTAGGCTCTTGGGTTTTCTGCTTGGATTTTTATCATCCTGTGTGCATTTCCTGCTGCAGTCCTTGAAGTTTTGCCTCTTTCTAAGTTAGAAATACATGCATGTGAGCTAGATAAACCCTTGGGAGATCTCCACCAAAGGAGGTTGGTCTAAAGTACACTGAACACCATGGAGATCTGCTGAATTCTGTAGCCTATGGCTGCAGGCAGAAATGCTTTGAGGCAGAACCCAAAACATCCCCTATAATGTCTGACTGAAACTGTAGGAGCTCCCTCTTGCCTAGAGTCACCTGGTGCCAGCTGTCAGTAAGGGGGGAGCAATCAGAGCCAGTTAGCCACCTTCAGCTTCCACATCTAATGACTGCTACCAAAAATAACTAACCCACAAAAGACATAAGCGTGCATTTCTGAAGCCAGAAGTCTTATTTACATGAAAATGTTCTTTTTATGAAAACATGGCATCATGCTTTATGCTTACTAGCACATTTGGGAAGAACAATTACAAATGAAAGTGATACTGGTCTACAGAAAAATACGATTTTCTATTCCTGAAGCATGACAATTCTCCCCATATTCCTAAGAACTGATGCTTTTTTCCCTCAAAACACAACTTGAATTCTTTGGTGAATAAGGAATGAACTGGTCTAAAAATTTAAAGTGATTTGGAAATGAAAAAGTTTAACTAGCAGGGGAAACAAGACTTTTTTCTGAAAAATGAAGAGTGGGAAACTGAGTCTCAGAAATATTAGAATAAACACTACTACTTAACCTTCAACAGAGACATCATTTCTTGCTATAGAGGCTTTTTGAGTTTCTCCAAAACTGGGTTCTAAGAACTTTCTGGGTCTCCAGTTGATCCACAGTCCACTCAGCATAATTATTTTCTATAAGGTCAATGATCTACAGATCAAACCCTAAATGAAGAGAACAATAAAAAGACAGGGTGGAAATAGCCTGAATAAGAATTCAGTTGACAAAACTGTATTCTATATGACAGGTTATCATCAAGGTATTTACCCTTAATGACACCATGAATCTGTCATCTGTATTGACCCTGAGTTACCCCTTGTTTGTGAATTCCCCTTCTGAAGTCAAGGACACCTCATGGGATCTCAGTTCAGGCAACACATTTTCCCTTGATATTAGCACTGCTCCATACTGACTTCATGCCTGGATGCTTTTTACAAGCAGGCTTGAAGAAATCTTAAACATTTATTGAACTGCCCATCAAGGACACTGAGGACATTCTTTGTAGCTTACCAAAATAAACCACTTGCTGACTGAAATGCTAAGATCGGTCTAAACCTTGTTCTTTACTTAAGGGTATGTTTTTAAGCAAAGAGAATTAAGTTCCAATAAATTAGGGGCTGCATCATAAAAGTGGTTGAAGAAAAAATGCTTGGTGGAAGTCAGCTAAAACTGCAGGAGTTTCCCAGCTCTGATAAGCTGCACATGAGACTTCTTAAATTTTTGTACCAGAAGGGACTGCAGTGCTGCTCTTACTCTGGCCTAAATTCACGCTCTCTAGCCCACAACATATGGCTGAAGTAGAAGCTAGGAAGAGGTCCAATGGAATATGAAAAACTATAGATGACAAAGAATTTCTCACACACTTAGTAACTTATTCCAATAGTCAATTAGCCCTATCTGAAAATAATAATATTAAAAAAAGACAGCTTATTTCAAAGTTCATACAGTCTTAATGGAATGCAGCTGAATAGTAACACGCTGTCCTGCCACTTTGAAAAGGAAGAGGTGGTCACACTCAGCTCAACTTGCTGGCTTCCCTGATTTGTTTCAGTTGAAGAAGAAGAAATTAGAGGCAAGGACAAAACTTGAAAACTTGGAGGATCTTGAAAAAATTATTCAGCTGAAGAAGAAGAAAAAATGCAAGAAAGTGAAAGTGCCCATTTTAAAGGAACCTGAACCAGAAGTTATTGTAAGTTACTTCAAAGTACCTTATTCTGGATAAAGCAGTAGTGGGTGTTTGTGCCACACATGTTCATGCCCTCTATATTCTTTCCATCAGACAGGACCTGTGGATATACCCACGTTCTTTAAAGCTGCGCTGGAGAATAAGTTGCCAGTAATTGAAAAATACCTGTCAGACAAAGGAGATCCAAATGTCTGTGATGAGGTACAATCTTCCTTCCTAATGCAAAGCCTGCTACAGAAGAGGGGTTATTACAGAACAGACATAACTTTTACCACAAAGTTTTGTAGCTTCCACCCTTATGAGGAGGAAAAAGGGAGGGGGGGAGGAAATAAATGCTGGGAGTTTTGTACATCAATTTTTCTAGTGATTAACAGGCCACTGAGACCCTTCAAAGTCATATTACCTTAAAAGAGTCTTTATATTTAAAATAAAGTGGTTGGTGCCCAGGAAACCCTGATTTTCAGTAGTAGGTGATCTTCCAAAGCTACAGATGAGGAGATAAGAAATTTGTCTGCAGAAAGACAGAAATAAGTGATGCTGCCTGCCCTCACATTCCATAATGCATAAGCTGCATTGGCAAAATACAGCATAGCATGTTGGATGGCGAACTCAACAGGCATCATATTAAATTTGAATGCCATACTGCAGATACTTCTCACATCCTTTAAAATGCTGGGTAGGCAGCCCTCGGCTATCAGGTTGCTATTAATATTTAGCAGATTTCAGGTTTCAAAAGCATAAGCTGTTAAAAATGAATCAGCACAGAGTATGTATTTGCCATCATCCTAGGGAGAAGGGGAGAAAAGATTTTAAACATATGCTTGTGCAATAATGTCTGACTCTGCACTGTTTCAATTGCCAGTACAAACGCACTGCGTTGCACAGGGCATGCTCTGAAGGACATCTAGAGGTGGTGAAAAAGTTGGTGGAAGCTGGAGCCCGGCTTGAACAGAAAGACATGGTATGCACATCCACTCAC